CACTCCACAAGTCTCAATCCAGCACTCTAGTCACTATCCCATGCCAGTTTTCCAGTTGCAGTCCAAAATACTGGAGGGCACCAACCTTCCTACTCCTGGTTTTAAGTCACTCTTTTAACCCATTTTTGTTAACCACATCTGCGTCTCCTTTTCTGTCTCTGTTCTGCTATTTTAAGGGGCAAATTAGACTTGACACTATTCCTGTGAAAACAGTATATGTTAATTTTGTAAATATATTGATAGCAGCATGGTGTGGTTGTGAAGACCACGTCAACTCCCTTTCCCCTGGAATGATGCTGTCAGGATCAAGGCCTGAGTGACCCTGCAATTGATTGCATGACCAGGAGCAGCTTGCGGGTGCTTGCAGCTGAGGACAACTATGCAATATAGCTCTGGGCCCTGGAGACCAGCATGAAAGGGCTCCCCGCAGTGCTGCTCTTTGCCACAGTGACATGTGCCGTGCTGGAATTGTCCCTTGCTCCAGTCTGTTCCTGCCTGTACCTGCTGCCCTCCTTGTCTCCTGCTTGGCCCTGTTTCCCACCTATGCTCCCTGACCTCACCTTGCTCTTTGAATCTGACCTGTCTTTCTGGAACTTGACCCCTGGAATGAATGCTTGGACTTGCTCTTGGACTGTGTACTACTGGATTGTATACTTGTCTGAACCTTATTGTTTCCCTGACTTTGATCCTGGACTGTTAAATGAACATGCCTCTAGTTCCTGGCCCACTGAACCTGCTGCAGGACTCCACCTTGCACCTGGCATTCCAACCTTAGCTATGTGCCACCCAGAACTTACAGATGCTTCTTGGATGGAAACTTGCATGAATGCGTACTCTATTTTTTAAAAAAACATGCAAATTAATTGTCTTTATGCAATTGCAGGAAAACAATTGACATCATATCTGGTTTGCCCAAAGTCACACTCTCCAAAAATCACAACATGGTGATACATTGATTAGGGGCCAACTTCCATAGAAACAAACACTGAGCATATTTGTTTGAGTTCTCCAGAATTCTTCACTGGTCTGGATGTTGAACAAAATGGGAGAGAAATAGCTGGGCATGACCTTAGAGCCTGAAGGTCTGCCCTTCGTAACAGTCTTCTTCAGGAAGAGGTACTGACAAGCTTAGAATGCAATTCTGTTATGTTCTCACCCAGAGGTGAGTCCCACTGAGCTCAATGGCTTACTTCCTGGCAAGTGCTGCTAGGACTGTAGTCCTTACTAGATTAGCCCCTGCTAGGTGCAAAACAGATTCTAGATTGCACTACAGACTGCTGTGATGATGGAATAATGACAGCTGTTCCACCATATTTTGGAAATTAGGATACACTAGATGTGGTCTTACTTAATACAAATGATTTTTTCCCCTTAGTGACCAGCAGGTGGTACCTACTCCATATGAATTAATGCAGATCGTATCACTTTGTGCATTTTATTGAGATGCTGCTAAGGGGGCAATCCTATGTCAGTTTAGACAGAAAAAGTGGTCTCAGCAGGAGCTAGGATGGCCCAAGAAGGCAGAGGTGATGGGCAGGAGTGACTCATCTTTGTTCCCCCTCTTGACAAGGAGAGGGGGCAACTGAAGTCTGTGCCTGTAGCCAAAGGCCCGTCTGAGTTGCAGAAACTGGATCCAAAAAGGGGGCAGAGAACAGAGTTTTTGCCCTCTGCAGGACTCCCATGGTCCTGGAGTGCCACTGGGCAGCGGATGGAAGCAAGAACCTGTTGCTCTCAACCTTCCTTCTAATGCTCACCAAGCATGGAAATGCCCATGCTATTATCTATTATTTATCTATTATAAAGTACAGTTGAAAAGTCAGGGGTGTGTTTGTGTGTGGCTGGATGGCTGATCTGTGGCCAAGTGCTCAGTGACAGTTGCCTCCTTGTTTTTCCTGTGTGAGAGGGTTACACGGAAATTCAGCCGGCCTCATCATCCCATGTAGGCAAGGAGTTTGCTTGCTGCTTTTCTGACTCAGTGGCTAAAAGCACAGGAGCCCTACTAGTGAAAAAGGTGGCAGTCTTTGGAGTGCTCAGCCCCTGGCTCTCTTTGTAGTCAACCTGTTGAGTCCTGTTTCTAGTCAGTTACCTTTATTATGCAAGCTATGAACAAGTAATAATTATTTCAGGCTACAGGCAGCATCCTTTAGCAGCCAAGGGGGGCAGATATCCTAGGCAGGCTTTGCACAGCACAGCATCTCAGAAGCCGCAACAGCTCCCTTGGGTCACAGCACCATGAAAAAGCTTTCCGAAAACTGGTACTCTCTGCCCCAGCTTGCCTTTCTCCAGCTGAGTGAGCTACCAAGTCCCTCCCTCAAGGTGAGTCCTTCTATGGGTCATCTCTCTGACTGCATGTCTCCTCTCTGGTGTCTTGTTCCTCCCTCCTTCTCTGAGGCTTGGGTCTCACTTTCCCACCTGCCCCTCCTCTTCCTTGGGAGCCTGCATTCCCAGGGGTCAGCAGACCTGGTTCGGCTCTCCTCTGAAAGATCAGAGGGCAGCTGGTTTCTCTGCTCTTCTCACTGATCCCCACCCTTGTTGCCTCAGCAGCTCCTCTTACCTTTCCCTCCACACCTGAGCCAGAACAGTTCCCATATCTATCTTCTAGGCACACATCTGCAGAGTGCTTGGGGCCCATACATAGCCCTGCACTTGGTCTTAGGAGCCGCTGTGGCACAGGGGCTGAGCACCAGCTTTTCATGTGGAAGGTCCCAGGATCAGTCGTTGCCTCTCCAAAGAATGCTGAGACCCCGAAGTTCATGTTACCACTCTTGGCTAGATGGATCCAGGCTCCGACTCAATATCAGACAGCTTCCCGTGTCCCTGTAAGACCTCAGCCCTTCCCTCCTACTTAAGGAGAGTCACCCTGCCTATTGAACTCTTCCTTCCTTCCTTCCTTCCTTCCTTCCTTCCTTCCTTCCTTCCTTCCTTTTTTCTTGCTGCTGCTGCTGCTTCTTGTGCACCATTGCTCCTACACAAATACTAATTTGTATCATTTTTGTTGTAAGCTGTTCTGAACAGCCAGGTGGCTGGAAACTTGTATACGCTTTTTAATGTGCAGAGCTGCACAGAGCAGAATCCTGGCTCGCTGTTCACATCCTTCCCCTATGAATCATGATCAAAAAAGTGTTGGTAAACTGAGAAACTCCACAGGGGATGAGGCTGGGGACAAGAAGGTCACCATGGCAAACTTCGTCAGAATTGCATTTGATAGCCATCCTCTTTGTCCTCTGGTGAAGTGTGATTACAATTCACAAGCTTGTCTGGAAGACTTATCCTAGCAAATCCCGGACTGTGGGCTGTGGCATTCTTGCTGGATGATGGGGCAATCAGCTTTGGGAGGTGGTGGGATCTCCTTCATGGGGCTTGACTTAAGCAGAGGCTGGATGGCCATCCATTAGGAATGATGCTTCTTCAACAGAGCTGAAAGGTTGGGTGAGGTGACCTCCAAGGGACCTTCCAACTCCATGAGAGGGGCTGGAACATGCCATGAAAAATTAAGCAATGTTGGAGGCAGCCGCTGCTCTGAAGCCGATGAGGGGCTTCTGGCAGCACATAGATCCCCCCACTTCTCCAGCAATATATGGGCATCTTCCTAAGGGAAAGATTCTCCCATGCAGCCCCTGTTACAAATATTCTCATTGTTACTCAGAAAGCCTGGATAACCAAATGAAGGAGGTACTGACAAACTGATCTAACTGGGCTAGTACTCACTCCCATACACTGAGAAAATGTGCACCTATTTTCAAATACTTTGAAGCACAAACTGCTGTGTGGCTTCTTGTCTTCCCTTTGCCAGGTAATACAGCAAAATGCTCTCCCACCCACCTCCCTTTAACTTTTCAGTTATACATTCAGAAGTTTCTTTAAGTCCTCTTTACTTACTCTAACTACATATATGACAATACAGTGTGCTATTGTATGTGAGAAGCAGTAAAGATATAAGCCTCTTGGGAGAGGAACAGTACATACCCCAATTATATGTAGAAGCTTTCATCCAGTGTTACTAAATGCATCTGCACAAACATGATGACTAGAAACTTTTTTTAAAATGTGGCTGTTAAATTCTCAGGCACTCAAATTTCAGGGTGCATTTGGGATGTCTACAGTCAAGAAAGGCATACATTTCCAAGAACACTCCAATTTCTAGCCAACACGCACTCTTTCTTTTTCTGTTCTTCATCCATCTCATATATATCTATGCATACTATAGATAGTGACTTGCAAGTGTGCGTGTGTGTGTGCGTGTGTGTATTTGTATGTATGCATATATGTATGTATGTTTGGAGAGAGAGAGAGAGAGAGACTAGATGTGATTTGTAGAATATATAATGTGTCTCCTGATGGTTTTTATATGTACTTGTCTGTTGCTATAAGGGAAGCTCCAAACTTGATCAGAAAAGTGAGAAGGAAAGGAGTGTTCAACTCACTCTCCCCATAAGTTGCTTTCTCATCCATGGTGGGGGGAAAGATAGCAGGATTTAATTTCTTACCCTGTGTGGAGAAAACAACAACAGGGGAGATTTTGATTGGCAAAATGGCCCAAGGGAAGAGTAAAGCACTCCATCTTCCCCCCTGCTTTGTTCAAATTAAAATCCGCCCCAAGCATTACTTATTTTAAAGTCGGAACTATTACAGGGAATAGCTACAGAGGTTTCAGAGTCTACAGCTTGGCATTAGCCTATTTCTTTTGTCAAGATTATTGGCAAACCCAGTATTTTTTCCTATAAAGCTCTGCGCTCTGTAGTTCTAATTGCATACTTCATTCTTTCCTCTATAACTTCTGTAATGCGTCCTAATATATTCATCCAAAGCTGGCACTGACTCAGCAAATACATATTTGGAAAACTAAACAGCCAGCATTTCAAGAAGCATCTCTTGAACAAGCAGTCCTGAGGTTTCTCATGGAGCAGAGACCTATTAAGGTATCCACCCCCCCACAGCCCAGAGCCTTCCGGTCTCCTTTCCTGGGCTGTGCCTTTTTAAAGATCTGTCCCGCTACTTACAGCAAACAGCCGGAGCACATTGGCCACCATGATGGAGACAGAGCTGGCCGAGGCCCCAATGACGGCCACCACCCGCTCAGGCTTGGCTATGATGGGGGGCTCGCCGTTGGAGCAGCGTACGTCGGAAGTGTCCTTCTGGATCAGTGCCTGGACAAAAGTCAGCGACTGCTCCAAGGCGTAGGTGTCACGAGAGCAAGTGTCCAGGATGCGGGCGCCCAGCGTCATGTTAGGCAGCAGGTCAGGGTCGCTGTTGATCTGGTCCAGCGCATAAAGCATGGCCTCCATCCGGTGGATTCCCTTCTCCTTCTTCACTTCCCCACATGGCACTCCAGCTGGGCCGCGGGCATGCACAGGGAACAGCCCCCCCAGGGTGATGTCCCCTTCTATCTTGATCGAGTGTGGCTGGGTTGCTGCTTGGCCACAAGCCCAGTGGGGGCTGGACACCAAGGCCCACAGTGACCACAAGCAGAGTCGTGGGAAGTGGGCTGGGTCCATGGTGTATGGTCTTGCCGGTATCTGTTGATGCTTAAGGCCTGGGATCAAAAGAAAGTGGGCTTAGATCAGGGGTGTGGCTCAGGTATCATTCCTGCACTCTCCAAGAATTGCCTTTTTGAATCAGGCTAATGGCTTAGCAGTTATCCAGCAGGTTCCACAGGAGATGGCCAGCAGCAAGATGGGGACTTTGCTTTACTGGCAAAGCACTGAGTTCAACACTGTATAAGAGTTAGGAAGGTTTTACCTCTGGGGTTAGATCTGGGATGGCTCTTTGCAAATATGAAGGTGGCACTGTGGTCATCAAATGTGGAACGCCTCTGTGTGAACCAGATTTTGCCTCCAAACAGGTAGCAAAATGCCCCAGACAGGCTTACAAGCAGAGCAAGACATTTTAATTACATGTTGTTTGTCCCTGGCCCTGGAAGGAGTCAGACATATTGCCCCTGAGAATGGAGGTATTTTTCCTGGCTTTCATGGCTAATAGCCATTATGAAAACCATCCTTCTCTATATGCTCCCTTAAACAAGAATTTTCTTGTGGCAATCTCCGCATCATTTGGCAATGAATTAATTACATACTGACTGTGTTTGTACATTACACACAGTTTATGTTAAAACATGATTTCTGCTTTAGCCAGGAATAGTCTGGCAGACAAACAAACAAAAATTTGTTTACCCTATTTCTGCTTTGTTTCTCTCCAGTCCATTTTCCTAACTGCCTGAGAGTTTTCATTTTCAGCTGCTCTTGCTGAGTAACTCTGTTTCAGGGGAGACAGACAGCAGTACAAACAAACCAGAAATAAGCCGCACTTCTGGGTTCAGACATCATGACAAGTGATGGTTTAAACAGGCTAGACTTTGTAAGCCCACAACAAACCATAGCTTCTATTAGTGGTTCTTAGCTACTTAAAAACCATGATTTGTTTGTGGGATTGCTCCGAGACACACTGGCGAGCCAGGAGGAATCATGTCACAGTGTGAAGAAGAATTTCATTTTGCCAGCTTTTTGAGTATCTTCTTCCTAATCTAATATTACTTGTACCAAAGAACAGGTAACAGGACTGGCAATCCCTTCCCTTCATAGTTCCAAGCACTGGACACTGTTTTCTCTGCAGCTGTGAAGAGCAATCCATTCTGCAACCATTTCCCCCAGTGTTTGAGACAATACTTACACTTTTAAGAAAGAGCCCCCAGCCATTTGAGGTCAAAACTCCAAAACAACAACACCCCCTCCTCTTTTGAACCCAAGCAATGATAGCACTGAGGGCCAGGACTTTGCTTTGCAGCTTGCCAGCCACCCAGTTAATAAGCGGGAAGTTTTAAAGCTAAACATATCTTAAGAAGCAAAAACCAGGAAGAACGTGGAAGACACTGTGAGCACGTTGCTCGCCTACGGGCAGTGTGTTGGATGCCCTAGGCTTAACAGCCTAAGACAATCATGCTGGCCAAAGTGACTGGGAAACAGCTGTTTTCTGAGATGGATAAAGGACTTGATTGTGGCTCCCAGAGGGAGCGAATGGCCTCCCTGAGGCCTCATCGGCAGTTTCTAGGCTGATCCTGCTCCCAGGGCTGCCCAAGTCATTTCGTTGCCTGGCAAGGAATGGCAAATGGTGCCCACCTTTGCATCTACCTTTCCATTGTTGGGAAAAATTGAATAAATCCTGGCAGAAAAACATTGCTTCTGTATGCTTTTGCGTTGTGGAATCAATTGTGTACTGCCTCTCAAAAGCACCAGCTTTCCAAGCTAAGTCACTGTTTAAAATGGCATTCCTCCCCCGTTTCTTTCTCTCACCTTTAGCTATAAGCTACAGTAGACAGGCCATTCAGTTCGAATATACATTATATACCTTCACCATGACTAAATAATCCTTGTTGGAATTCAGTTTACCAGGAAGTATCTATTTTGCTAGCCCAGAGCGCTCCATGCGCCCTGACCAATCAGAATGGTGCGGATGCATTACTTAGGGTTTGAGTCTAGATGAGCTTATGAGTTCATGAATAGTTTCTCAGTAGCTTGAATTTACATGTCTAAGCAGACCTGGAGATGGGTTCAAGTTACTCAACTAAAGTGTCAATACACTGCAATTAGAAATATTGTAGTCTCATTGTCACTGTATGATTGGCTGAACTTCCTTTATCTGTTCAGTATGTGATGACCTCAGAATCTTACTGTAATGTCTGCATTCTGTCATCAATTGCCCTGTACCTGTGTACGTGACCAGGAGGGTATACAATACCCTGTAGTTGTATTGAAACCTTGCAGCGAGTTTACCTCTGCCTGCCCGGTAATGCATTATCATGAGTCTACTGTGGGAACCTGGGCCAAACAATAAAGCCACAGATGGTCTGAACACTTGATCTTTCCCACAAACCCAAGTTTTATTCCCTCCTCACAAACTGAAATTCCGGGATTCTGACACCATCAAGGTTCACAGCATAGCAGACTGACTGAGGTATTCTGGTGCCTGAGGCAGAGAATCTTCTCCCTGGGAGTAAAAGATTGCACAGCAACACACAATAAAGTAATCGCACCCTTTTAGGACACCCAAAAACAGCTTCTGGGGGTGGCTGGCTCAGGGCCAGGCCGGATCTGCCCTAACTTTATTGTTGGCCTGTTTAGATTTATGGCCCCTTCAACACATCCTATCCTAAAGATGGTGGGGAATGAAAAGAGGACTTCCAGTGGAGCAGAATACCATTCTGACAAGGTTGTGTGCATGCTCCTGTTTCTATCTGGAGTCATCTCTGAGCCGAACCGAACAAGCAGGTTGTCTTATCCTTGCGCAGTGTGTCACAGTTGTCACAACTTCTTCAGATGGTATGCACCATTTGGGGGCAAAATTCAGAGTGCTGATTCTGATGTATAAAGTCCTATACAATTTAGGACCAGGCTACCTGAAAGACTGCCTTCTCCCAGATGAAACAGTTGGGATTTTAAGATCCCCGTGGGAGGCTTATTTTATGTCCCAACACCATCACAGTATGTTGAGTGGGAATGTGAGAGGGCCTTCTTCATGGCTGCCCCCGGACTCTGGAATTCCATACCCTTGGAATTCCGTTCAGCAAGCAAAAATAAATTTCCTCAGGCAGGCTTTTGCTTTAAGCTGACATATTTGCTGAAGCAGGTTTTAACTGATGTTGTTTATTTTAATGGGTGACTGTTCTTTTTTCCTCTTTTTAAACTGATGTGTCTTTAATTGTGTACTGATTGAGTCATTTTGGGTTTTAATTTTAATTCTGTATTTTATTATTGTTAGTTGCCTTGAACACCACTTTTAGTGGAAAAACACAATATGCATTTAATTAATAAATCAGCAGTATCATTAACAAGGATGCTCTTCAGAGATCACAATGGGATGGAAGCTTTATGGATTGTAGCCATTGCCTTGCATTGTGCTTGGAAAATCCAATACGATAATGTACGTTTGTTCTGGCCTTCTCCAAACTATTTCAGCCAGGCTGCTGGGATCATAGAGAAAAGAAAAGCAGGCACACACTAAACGAGGCTTCAGCCCCTTAGGGTAGCCACCCACTGAATGCAGCCACAAGGTACAAGGCGGCCATCAAGCAAATCAAACAGCTTTGCCAGCCTTCCTTTTATCTGCTTTGTGTTTCTGCCTTCATCTTTCTTCATCTATTTCAATCTATATCTCATTTAAAAACAAACACACAAGACAGCTTTAAGGGAAAATTTGAACCTTGCAGATAAACTAAGAGAGAAAAGTAGCCAAATAAAAAATACCACTAAAATCACAGCACATAAAATCAAAGTGGAAGAACACACAAACTGTAATGTAGATACTAATCAAGAGCAAAAGATTAAAAAAATAATTAACAGCCTGGGAAAATAATAAACTATTTTTACCTGGCACTTAACTGAAGCAAATAAAACCACTTGAAAAAGGTCCGAAAATTTATGACCCAAAAAGATTCCCAAAAGAGAAAACTTTGACCTTCTTACAGAACAGAGAGTATTCAGATTAATCATCTATCATCTTTGCCTATTTCTGAATTCTCTTGTTCATTTCTCTCCTTTGCATTCCTTTCTCCTATTCTTCTCTCTCTATACCTGATTGTCAATCTGAGTCACCCATACTCAGCTTTTCTATGTGAGGCATTAATTGTGCTCATGTGCTTCCTTACTCACAGTTATTTATGGGTTCTTCTGACAGTATTGTAATCTTCCAGTTTGACTTCACTTTCTTCAGAGCACTTTCCTGTTTTTTTGTTTTTGTTTTAAAGACAGGGTAAAATTGGGTGTTCTTTTTGAAACTAAAGAAAGGGCATTTTCTTACTTGTGTAATTGTGATGTTCTGCTACAGCAGAGCACCACCTAGAGGTTATGCACTGGAAAAGAAGGAAAGGAAAGGCTGTTGATGCAGAGTTTGCATTTCTGTTCTCAGTTCATTTACTTGCTACTGAGTTTTGAGTTTCTGGTTTTAAATGTTTCATCTGTTTAATTTTGTTCCTTCTACTACATTTAGATTAGAAGAGTTTTGCACAGATTGCAATGCATTTTAACCGTCAACTGGTAAACTGCAGAGAAGTCTCGTGCTAGATATGGTAAGCGGTATATAAATGGCTTATAAATAAATGAATGGTAAAGTAGATCTTTTGTGTGGCACTACCTGCACACAAGAAGGAAGCATAAACAGACTCAAAGAAATCCCAGGGTTTGCAGTACAAACATTTTTTGGGACCCCTCAACCCATGAGAACCAGCTACACTTAGTGCTGACTGAACTCTTAGAGGTTATCTACATGAGGCATTTAGTGTGTGGGGTTCAGTTTTGTTTCTGTGTCTAAAGAGCACTTTCAACAAGTGCTCTTAGAATTAATCAAATTAGGGATTTAATCATGGAAGTGAAAGGAAACTGTTTTTTCACTTGTGTGTTTGTTCTATTCCAATATAGCACATCACCACCTACTGCTTATGCAGCAGAAAAGCAAGGGAAAATGCTTCTTGCATAGTTCTCAGATCTCAGTTCTGTGATGAAACCCA